CTGGCCATCAAATACAACGCGCTCAGCGAGCGGGTGTGCCTCCCGAATCTGCCTTTACAGCCCCAAAATCTGCCTTTGCAGCCCCAAAATCTGCCTTTGCAGCCCCAAAATCTGCCTTTGCAGCCCCAAAATCTGTCTTTGCAGCCCCAAAATCTGCCTTTTCAGCCCCAAAATCTGCCTTTTGAGCCTCAAAATCTGCCTTTGCAGCCCCAAAATCTGTCTTTACAGCCTCAAAATCTGCCTTTTCAGCCCCAAATCTGCCTTTTCAGCCCCAAAATCTGTCTTTACAGCCTCAAAATCTGCCTTTTCAGCCCCAAATCTGCCTTTGCATCCCCAAATCTGCCTTTGCATCCCCAAATCTGACTTTGCATCCCCAAATCTTCCTTTTCAGCCCCAAATCTGCCTTTGCATCCCCAAATCTGCCTTTGCATCCCCAAATCTGCCTTTTCAGCCCCAAATCTGCCTTTTCAGCCCCAAATCTGTCTTTGCAGCCCCAAAATTTGCCTTTTCAGCCCCAAATCCAGGCGCTCCCGGTGTGGGGTGGGAGAGCTGCACTGTCCCTGTGCTGGGATTTGGCCAGACCGGTCCTGGCTTGCCGGGGCTTGTCCATCCCTGCTTTGTTTGTCCCGCTGGTTTTTTGGGAATGACGCCCCTGTGGGAATCCTTCCATTTTCCAGCACTTTTCCCTGGCAACCGGGAATTCCGAAGGGAACCGGTGCCCCCAGTGTGGCTCCAAACTGAGGGGCTGGTGGGGTTCTGGAGGAATCCCTCGGTTCATACCTCATTATTTAAACAAAAAAAAAAATCAAATATCAGGAAAACATCCCCAGGCAAGTTCCCACTCCTGTCCCAAGGAACTTTTATCCATCAGCTGCTCCACTCAAACCGGGAAGGGGCTTCACTAGAGGTTGGGTTATCCTTAAAAGCACCCTTGAAATTCAGCCCCTCCCTGTGCACGGAGCAATGAGGGAATGTGGGAGCTGGGGGGATGCTCGGGGGGGGGGTTCAGCCTGGATCCCCCCGATTCCAGCTGGAGCAGAGCCTGCAGCTGGAGCCGGGGGAAGCAGCCGAGAGCCGGAGCCTGGCCCAGCACAACATCGAGCTCCGGAGGCTGCTGGAGGAGGAGCAGGCTGCCTACAAGAGGAAGCTCCAGGCGTACCAGGAGGGCCAGCAGCGCCAGGCCCAGCTGGTGCAGAAGCTCCAAGCCAAGGTAAATCCTTCCCGGGGGGGGCGCTGGGATAATTTGGGGTCACCCCCGGTGGGTGTCACCCCCCCCGGGCCTCCCCAGGTGCTGCAGTACAAGAAGAAATGCGGGGAGGTGGAGCAGCAGCTGCTGGAGAAGGCGACGGAGCTGGAGCAGGAGAGGCTGACGGTGAGGGGGAATTCGGGGGCCCCCAAATCCCCAGACGGGGGTGATGGCCAGCGGGGGGATATTCCCACAGATCCAGCTGGATGCCAGCGGCTCCCAGCCCGAGGAGGAGAGCAGCAACGAGCTGGAGAATGCCCTGATCCGGCTGGAGGAGGAGCAGCAGAGGTGGGTGGGAGTGGGAGGATTCCCGGGATGCTGAGCTCGGTGATCCCCGGGACCCCAGGAGCAGCAGAGGTGGGTGGGAGTGGGAGGATTCCCGGGATGCTGAGCTCGGTGATCCCCCGGGACCCCAGGAGCAGCAGAGGTGGGTGGGAGTGGGAGGATTCCCGGGATGCTGAGCTCGGTGATCCCCCGGGACCCCAGGAGCAGCAGAGGTGGGTGGGAGTGGGAGGATTTCGGGGATCCCAGGAGCAGCAGAGCTGGGCGGGATCCCGGGGGAATGTGAGGATTCTCGGGATGCTGAGCTCGCTGATCCCCCGGGACCCCAGGAGCAGCAGAGGTGGGTGGGAGTGGGAGGATTCCCGGGATGCTGAGCTCGCTGATCCCCCGGGACCCCAGGAGCAGCAGCCTGGTGCAGGTGAACTCGATGCTGCGGGAGCAGCTGGAACAGGCCAACGTGGCCAACGCGGCGCTGAGCGAGGACATTCGGAAGCTCACGGCCGACTGGGCACGGGCCCGGGACGAGCTGGAGCAGCGGGAGGCGGAGTGGAGACGCGAGGAGGAGGTGGGGGACACCCCAGGACACCCCAGGGCACCCCAGGGACACCCCAGGGACACCCCAGGGCACCCCAGGACACCCCAGGGACATCCCAGGGACATCCCAGGGACATCCCAGGACACCCCAGGACACCCCAGGACACCCCAGGGCGCCCCCGGCATTCCCCAGGGATCCACCGGGAGCAGCAGCGGGGACAGGGGTGTGGGGCAGAGGGATGTGGGGTCACCGAGGAGGGATGCGGGCCCGGGGGATGTTCCCTGGGGGAGGATTTGGGGGTTTGATGGGAAGTGGAAGTGAGGCAGGGACGTGTCGCCCCCCACCCCTCTCCATGCCCACGAGAACTGGGGTGGGGCTGAGGAGAACCGTGGGGGTGATGGGTGTGGCCAGGACGGATATTTGGGAATTTGGGGACAGCGGTAGATCCCTGACCCGGCTCCATCGCACCCCAGTCCTTCAACACCTACTTCAGCAACGAGCACAGCCGGCTCCTGAGCCTCTGGCGGCAGCTGGTGGCCTTCAGGCGCCACTTCGGGGACATGAAAGCCACCACCGAGAGGTCAGCGGGGCCCGGGCGGGGGGAGCTCTCCCTCTGGGGGTCCCTGCGGGTCCCACCCTGCTCCTCCCGCCCTCGCAGGGACCTGGCGGAGCTCGGCCACGAGGTGTCCCGGACCGGCCGGGCCGCCCACGCCGCCTGCCTGCACCTGGCGGCCAACCTGAGGCTGGCCGAGAGCCAGGCGGGAGCGGCCCGGGAGCGGCAGGAGCTGCGCCTGGAGCAGCTGCAGGAACAGCTGGAGGCGCGGGCAAGGGACGCGGAGCTGGAGAAAGCTGCCCTGGCAGCCAGGTACGGGGGGCTGGGGGTGGCACAGGATGGGGAGGAAATGAGTGGGAGGGGAGGGATGCAGGGATCCAGGAGGGGATGCAGGGATCCAGGAGGGGATGCAGGGATCCAGGAGGGGATGCAGGGATCCAGGAGGGAT